TCATCGTGTTCGAAATTCGTGTTAATATCTTAACCGCGTATTTCGAGGTATATTTAACACGTTACGTTCGCCTCCTGTTACGCCTCTGTTATGTATCTTACGCGCAATGCTCGACGTTTGAAATATCATGCAGAGGCCCGTTCGTTAACCTTCGATTAACCTTAAAATGGTTGGAGACATTTATCAAACGCCATTCTATTCACGTTCAAAACCGATGATAAACGATAGTTTCATAGATAAAACTGTTACGTTATCCGTTTTCGTTTCGTGAATCGTTTCATTTCATCTGCGCGAACGAAACGAACGTAATGCTCAAATGTTGAAAATTCAAGTGGTGTAAACATCTTACCGACCGAGAGATAAAGACACGTCACGCGATACCGACGCGAAACGAGGGAAAGTTTTATTATTTTTCTCTATTCGTGAACAAACGATCGTTACGATTTCTTTTTTTATTTCTTTACATGTAGCTCCATCCACCATTTACCGTGAAAATACCGCGATGCGTTCAAGGATCTAAGGAAAAATGCGAGGGTTGCTCATTTTTCCTCCGAGAAAAATTATTTTTCAGACAGGGGAAAATGATATCGGGTACGATGACATTATGAACAAGGAAGAGAAAAATATCGTTGAAACTTTATCGAATCGGTGTAGTTTTGCGGGTTGGTAAACGTAAATGTGTCTTTTGTAGATTTGCAATTATATGTGTAATAATTTATCGATTTACGAAATTAATATATTTTTATGAATAAGTAAATGTAAAAATACGCAAACGTAATTTTTATGAAATTGCAATTATAAAGTAGAGTAGAATAAAGAATTTAATGTGTATTATTTATAATTTATTAATCGATTAATTAATAATTTATTAATAATTGATGAGATGAGTTACGAGTGAATCGAATTTTAGATTTTTTTGACACGATAAAAAAATTTGTAATGAAGGAAGTTACGATTCTTCGTAAAAATTTATTAAAATAATCGCTCTAGCACGCGATTAATCATCGATCGTCATCAAATTAGAGGCGTTAAAAGAAATATCGAGAAAATGTACAAGTCTAAATCTAAAAAATTAAACACCAATCTTTGTTAAAATTAATAGATCCCTTTGTCACAAAACTTCTTAAAATTGTTCCTTCGTCTACTTCTAGTAAAATTATCTCTCGTCTACTTTTACCAGAATATATATATATATATATTTTTTTACTTCCTGTCCCCTAAAATGTAATGTATCGTTGCAAATTTTACGACGATAGTTTAGAATCAAGCCTTACTTTATGAAACTTGGACAGTCCCCTGGAAAGGAACAGAGGATCGTACTATAAAGTTTTCCCCGCGTTGCACCAGCCGGTCGAGGAAAAGTATTGTTGAAATTTTTAATGCCACTGCCGCCTCGTTTCCGCGTTGCAATTTTATTCTCCTCGCTTCGAGAGACTTGTCTTTCCACCTTCTTCTCTTCTCCTTTTTCTTCCTTCTTTTTGCCTTCTTTTTTCTCTCTCTCTCTTTCTCTCTCTCTCTTTTTCTCTCTCCCTCGCTTTTACACAAAAAAGACGATGTCCAAGCTCGCCATTTAATTGTCCGATCCTTGGTGTTCACCTATCTTCAACCGACCATCCGCGCGTGTAAATTCAATTTGGATCCTTGCCGACGCCCGATGCAATCGTATTCGCATAAACGAATCGGTGAAACAAACTCTCGAAACTTCTGGGGAGAGGGAAATTTTCGAAGGGGTCGCGAATCGATCGTATTGTTCCTCGATCGATGAAACGAAAAGAGGGTGAGAAAAGCACGAACGACCGATAAACGATCGAATTGTAAAACGAATCCCACTATTCGCGCGCGTTATCGCATTATCTCTCGCCCAATTAACCGTTCTAAACTTTAAAATTGAAAAGCGTGCTTTCAAATGTAATAAGTAGAATAGTTCTCTCTCTCTCTCTCTCTCTCTCTCTCTCTCTCTCTCTCTCTCTCTCTCTCGCACTCGCTCTCGCTCTCGCTTTCGTTCTCTCGCACTCGCTCTCTCTCGCACTCGCTCTCTCTCGCACTCGCTCTCGCACTCGCACTCGCTCTCGCACTCGCACTCGCTCTCGCACTCGCACTCGCTCGCTCTCTCTCGCTCTCTCTCGCTCTCTCTCGCTCTCGCTCTCTCTCTCTCTCAACTTCCTCTGTCTCTCTCTCTCGATAAATTAACTTGCTCTTTGTCCGAGTTTTCGAAAAGGATATTTACGACGTTTACTCGAGAAACGAAAAACGAGAATAAAGATTCTCTCTCTCTCTCTCTCTCTCTCTCTCTCTCTCTCTCTCTCCATTTCCATCGAGGCTTTTATCGAAATGTCAATAGCGAGTAACAACGAGTATAACGAGATTGAAGGTTGCGCGACGCGGATTCGTCGTTAGCCGTGGAAGAAGGAGTCGTAATTGTCGAGCGGATGGGAAATGGGTCGTCTTGAGTAAGAGATAAGTGGAAGGAAGGCCGCGCGGATCGAAAGAATGCTGCGCTTGACAGTCTAATTACGGACAATCGTGTATCGGATGATTATGACCTCTCCCTCTCGAGATCTTTCTTCTTCTATTCTCCTCGACCTTTCCTCCCTCCCCCCCTTGCCAAATCGGTCTCATTCTCAAACGATTCGAAAATCAAAATCGGGAAAATTTAATTTCAATTTTTTCGCGCAATTTAATCGATCGTTCATCGGATCGAATCGGTTAATTAAATTTAAAAGAAAAGAGAAAAAGAAGAAGAAAAAGAAGACGAGGAAGAAGAAGAAGGGAAAAATTTAACTCGAAATACGATGCGATCCAACGTGATCGTCCTTTTTCTTATCTTTTTCTTTTTAACGTGGGTTGGGGATTATATTCGTGCGAGGCGCAGTTACAAAGTAAGAAAATGACGCGCGAGATTTGTATAACGATCGTAGGATGGGATAGGTGGATCGCGTTTCCCTCCAGTCGTTACCTCGACCGATGAAATTAACCAACCTCTCCCCTCCTCTCTCTCTCTCCGCCCCCTCCCTCGTTGAGCACCGGCCTTCCCATTTCGCTGGCAAGCGTCGTGTCCATTAACCGGCGTGGACAGTGTGGTGTTTTACGATCAGTTTTACGGTAATTGTGGAAGGAAAATTGGAATCAGGAAGAAAATAAAGTGAAAAGAATTCGCTACGGGAGGATACGACTCGAAAAATCGAATCTTCTTCTTTAATTGTCGCGTTCTCTAATTGTTGATTAATCGATCAACACGCCTGTCCAACTTCGCACGAGAGAAAGAAGAGAAGGAAAAATTGATTTCGATTCGAGGTCGAAATCGTTTCGAATCTTTGGCGGGAAGAATTTAAAAATTTCGAACAGAAAATCGACGAGATCTCCGAGTTTTGAATCAAGAGTCGATTAAAAGTCTCGGGGATTTTTTGGAGAGGTAAAGAGATCAAAGATGTGTATTTCGGCCGGAAATGGTAGCCGCTTAATTCGTATCTTTGGCGGGAAGAATTTAAAAATTTCGAAGGGAAAATCGACGAGATCTCCGAGTTTTGAATCAAGAGTCGATTAAAAGTCTCGGGTATTTTTCGGGGACGATTTCGAAAGGATCGCTGCCTCGTTTCAGGGGAAAGAGATCAAAGATGTGTATTTTCGGTCGGAAATGGTAGCCGCTTAATTCGAGGTCGTCGTTAAAGAGGCGCGCCCTGCGAGAACGAGCATTTCCCTTTGTGGAAATTTTCGCGCAAGGGCGTTTTTCCTTTTATTTTTTTTTTTTTTTTTTTTTATGCGACATACACGCGCGCGCCCTTCCTTTTCCAAATTTTTTGCTTTCCACCGCTCTTCACCGTCGCGCCGATTTTCATTCATGCGCGAAAACTTGCTGGAAATTCTTCCGTTTTCACATAAGTGAAGTTTTATCGCGTGTCAGTTTTGTTGTCGCGGGTTAGCTTACATTAGTACGTTCGTGAGACATATTTAGAGAAAGTTCAATTCAAAATAAATAGAAAAATTGGTCGATTTATTATGTTATTTCACAATTACTTTTATTCTATTTAATAACTTAAAAAACTCGAGCGATATTTTTATATACCAATTTTTGTGTTCGTTTTAAAATCTATCCTCCATAAGTATCCTACGAATACATATTAATACTTATATAAAAAAATTCGTTAAAATATTCTTAATTAATTTAAAAATTCGTTTCAAAAATTTAGAGTGATTTACTGCATAAGAAATTCCATAAAATATTCGTTATTAATTAATTCAAGCATTCGGATGTATTTTATGAATCATAATAATATGTAAGAAATTCTCGAAAATATTTTTAATTAATTTGAAAATTCGAGCCTTCAGAATTATTCTTCGTAAGAAATTCCCCAAAATATTCTTAATTAATTCCAAAATTCGAGCCTTTAGAGTTATTCTTCATAAGAAATATCCCAAAATATACTTAATTAATTCGAAAATTCGTGCCTTCGGAGTGATGGTATTCTGCATAAGAGATTCCATAAAATATTCGTTTAATTAATCGCAAGATTCGAGATACATACGCTGCACGAAAGTTCGGAGTTCAATTAGAGTTTCCAAGATTCGGTGTGCGTTGGCTGGAAATGGTAACGAATCGAGGCGCATATCTTGGTCGTCTCTACGCGTCTGTTAATCGCGTTAAACTGTGACTCGGTCTCTCGTTTAATCCAGGAATGCTTGCAGCACCCGGGACACGTTGAAAAACACGAGACCACGGCCGAGGCGCAACGCGAAGCGAAACAGGGGCGACGCAATTTTCCTTCGTGTTACGCTCTTCATTTGCCTCCCCTCTCCTTCTTAATCTCCCTTCTTCGTTCTCTTCTTCCAGCCTTTTCCCCCTCCAGCTTTTTTTCCATCTCTCCGCTCGAAATTTCGCGAAACTCTGTGGAAATATATATATATATTTCGAGTTAATCGTTTCATAGAAATTCGAATCAACGTTCTCCTTTTCGTGTGTGCGCGATATTTCTCGAGCAAGTTCGTTACAAAAGACGGAGAAACGAATATCAACAAATATCGAGGAACTGTTCACGTGTGTATACATTGGGCAGGAGGAGCTTAGCCAAGGACAAATTTCGAGAGTGGGGAAGAGAAGGGGAAGAAGTCCGCGCAGTACGTTGTTCGGTTATCTGTTCTGTTTTTATTATTATTCTCTACCGATAGCAGGTCTGTTTAAACTTTTCTACTCTTGAATTCTATCGTAAATTTTAGCATATCTCTCTCTCTCTCTCTCTCTCTCTCTGTATTTCTGGCTATTTCTTCTCGTCTTGTCATCACGAATCGGTTGCCAGATTTCTGTTTATAATGCTGACCGCATTGAGAAATTTCGCTTCGAGAATTTTAGAATAATTGGAGAACGAGAATCTTTTGTTGCGATCTGTTGTTTATCTGCCGTTTTCTTTGAAATTATTATTATTATTTTTTCCTTTATAAAGAATTGAAGAAGTCAAGTTCTGTGAAATGTTTTTAATAATTTGTAAAATATAATCGATCCTTCTTTTTGCCGTAAAATGCTTGGTTAAAAAATTTGCATTGCATAATTTAAAAATTATTGTTCAAAGTAAATTCTTAAAACGACCAGGAATTATATATACATTTTTACGTTTTTCTCGAAAAATTCTCGTTTTATTTTCGTTGATTGGTGCAACGATTATATCGTTCACCAGTTCAAACGGTTTCCTTTGTGCTGTGCGCGTGTATACGTGTATGTGCATTTGTATGTGGAGCATAGTCCTTTCTCCATCGTTTATTCACCCCCATTATCTTCCCTATCTTCCATTTTCCTTCAAAAGGAACACGGTTGTGCATTACGTCCAGACTTAGCATCGACAGAGATTAAAAGCGCGGGAATAAACACGGCGTATCAGTGTACAAATGGAAAGCACAATTTTCCTTTGACGCCACCTTTTCCATAACATGAACGTCCACCGTTCATTTCCATGGATTTTCCAATCTTTTGACATTCCAAACTTCTCTTCCTTTCTTCGAATAATTTTTAAAAAATTTAATTTATCGAGATATATCCAATCTCGTATCTTTTTTATTCTGCAATTTTTTTTTTCTTCTGTGTAAAAAGTTTCTTAAAAGAGATGATTTCGCATTCAAGAGATGACTCTCAGACATTGTTTGAATCGATAAAGGCGGCAATTTATTCATTTATCGATTTGATTCGAATCGAATACGCAAATTTCGATGCGTAAAATATCAAAAATATAAAAAGTTTTATATTAATTCGTATTTGTGAAATCAATTTAAGAAGGATAAAGAGTATTAATAATTTGGATTCCTTTTGTGTTGCGCAAATATTGCGAAGAAAACTGACAGGTTGGAGAAGTCTCTGGAACATTCACATTGAGGCACGCGTTGAAAGTCAAAAGAACTATTAGAGTGTGCCATAAATTTTTTTCTTACCACGCTACGAATGACTTTAACTGGCTTTTTGCACATAAACGTGCAAGCTTATCTATTAGTCGTTTGCGACATCGGTTTCAGTGGTCCTAAAGCTGTTTTGAAATACGTTTCGTTGGTCTCTTTTAAAACATTTTTCTACACTTTTCGATATGAATAGCCAAAGGAAGTGTTTGCGGCGTTTTAAAAAAGGTGATAGCGCAAATGATACTGTGCAGACGAAATTTGCACTGGGAGTGCTGCTACGAGTGTTATTACGATCAGTTTAAGAAATTCAGAGCTGACAATTTTGATTCGAAAAACGAAGACCACAGCGGCCGCTCAACAGCAACGAATACGGACCTCGTTGAAGCCATGTTCGCTGAAAATCTACGAAGTGAGTGAAACTAACGTTTCGTGAAGCAATGGTACGTAATCATCCGATGGAATATGTCGATCGATGTAAAGTTTGAGTTCCATGGCTATCGACGGAGATCGATCTTATGAACTCAAAGTTCGTAAGATATCCAATTGAAAAATACTGTATTGTGAAAAATAAGAATCGACCTGTTCATTCAATTTCTCTCTCAACTGTTTAATTTTTTAACCACAGTCGTTCCAATCTTTCGTATATTGGCGGAACACGGATACCAGACGCTTCTTTCTCGTATCGATATGAAAAGGGAAGAAAGAAAAAATAGAAGTTGTAAGAAGGTATATAGGTTTATATATTTCTTACGCTGACGTTTGTGACGCGTGAAAAACGGAGGGAAAAAATCGAAGAAAATCGAGATACGGAATCCTGTAGTCGGGTTAATAAAAACCGTCCCTGAATCTATGTTTGCGCAACACGTTCTTCCTTCTTCCTTGCCGACAGAGACGTGGTGGTGATCACGTGGTAGAGCCATACACATCATATCTCTAATCCGATAAAATTTCATTCCTTTCGAACGAATAATACGCGGTTTTATATATATATATATATATATATCTTTCGACGCCTCGAAGAATACGAATACGGAATATATATATCTCTCTCTCGAATCGAATGGATAAATATTCTTCCAGGGAAACTGGGAAATGCAAATATCGATTTGGAAACGTACGGCTACTCTTCTTAAGCTGTAGTAACCCCAGGTCTATTCCGTAGAAACGCAATTTCGTAACTTCACGTTTCTATTAGTGCATCCGAACCGTATAACTTTTAATGGCACAACGAATCGCTCGAAACTTCGGGCTGATTTTAAACGAGTTTATAATACCGTGGATCGTGGGTAATAAAAGCAGGAACCGTGATCCACTTTCCCGTTGGAATATTTTTGAAACCGATCGGAAGGGGATATTCCGGGGAGGATAAGTGGATCTGCGTTGTTACGCAACTTTTCGTCTTATCCATTATTCATCCGTGCCTTCGTTTCCACGAATTACACACATTTCCTCGATATTATTAATCGGCCTTCTTTTACGTTCGGATTTTTCTAGATTTAGTTTTTTCGAGAAACGTTTATTTGTTATCGATAACAAAATGAAAAAAGAATCTCCACGAGTTTTCTACGAGTAAAAAAAAAAAAAAAGAAAAAACGAAATGCGAAATCGAATTCTGATAGAGCGTAGAAATTAACCGTCATTGAATTATGATTGCTTCTTCCGGGGACCGTATAAAATTACTTTTCACGCGTTCTTTTTATATATCCTCGAGGCATAAAACTAACAGGCGGTGGATCCCGTAACCTTTAATCTTTAAGATCTATATTCGAAGTAGAGGTTGCGATAATAAAAAAAAATAATTTCTTTTTTTACAAGTTTTCTCGATCAAGTTTACGCATATATATCCATATTGTTACCATTAGATTGTATTACATTATTCTCTTATATTTCTTTTCTTGTAATAAATTCTTTTTCGTTATTAATATAAATATCGTTTCTGTACAGCCGAAGCGCATCGAAATATTAGGTTAGCTTTTGAGAAAATTCCATCGATAAATCGAATAATTTGTTATTATCAGTGCTTCGAGTTTTTCGTTTTTATCATTGAAACATATCGAAAGATAAAAAAGAAATTCAAATCTCAATTCAACAAAGAGTTATATTAGCTTGTGCAACACATCAACTTGCCAATTTTAGAATAAACGATGATCAACCGCGACTCGTAAACTCTACTTAACCTAACCTTATTTTTTCTTTCCGTAACAACTTCTTTTTTGTAATTAACTGTTATTTAACTGTTTCTCCACAACGAATTTAGAATATTGTTCCTGTACGAGTTTAAAATGAATCATGAGTGCAGTCGAAACTCATCGAAATGTTAGGTTAACTTTCGAAGAAGATTCCATCGACGAGAGGATCGTTCGATGGCGGTTTCAAAAATTCGAGTCTGGAAATGAAAATCTCAAAAACGAGTCTCGAAGTAGGTGTTGTTTTTAAAAGATAAAATACTCGACGCTGAAGAATTTATAAAAAATGGAATACGATGATTTGATCGAAGCCAATGATTCGAATTTTCTGACAAAAACAGCAATTTCACGTAATTATGCGAACTAATCTAATGGAAAAAAAAATTGAGAAACGTATATTTTCAGTCGAGTCGCGTGTTAACTCGGTTAATTTGTCGTTTGGAACGCAGAGATCGAAGAAATTCGAGCAGAGGAAACGGGAGAGACCTTGCACGAACCTCCGTTTCCTTCGAATGCGAATTCGCTTAGCTAGTTCAAGGGCAAGATCGATCATCTCGAAGGTGTGCTCGAGGATTCAAGGATCGATAGAGGGGGTTTATGACTGAAAGAAATTCGAATATCTCTTAAATAAACATATATGATTCGTTCGAGATCGATAGAACAGCGCCATAATAAATTGACTGGGCAGTGAAAACAATAAATAAAATGTACGAATCATTAACCGAATATATTTAATTGTTACTTTTATTATTAATTATTTAATTATTACGTAATTGTGTAACAACTATGAAATAATGTCGACAACATTCAATAAATGATAAAATTTCATCGAGTTTAAACAATCCGTAACAATAATCGATTTAGTGAATCGTTATTATAATCGTGTTATATATATATGCGTTGACATCGATACGACGAGACTCGATCGTATCATCGTATTTTCGTCCAATTATCACTATATAACGAGAAGGAATTCCATCTCACGCACAATTAAACAAGTAACGGCCAATCTCGACCGCCTAATTACGAGCATAATTACGAGAAATAACGTGTTCCGTGACAATTGCTCGCGCGTCGCGGTTCTCGCCTATTCCACCCGTTTCGTCAAAATCATCCGACTATTTAAACTTGCTCCCCTCCTATTATATCCCAACCGAGTAATTTATCGCGGCCGCTTTCCAGTTTACCGTTAAATCAACCCCTCCTCTTACAAAAATATTCCACGCGATATTTAAAATTCGGTTGCTCATCGATGAATTATTATTATTAATTATTATTATTATTATTATTATAGTTAAGTATATTCAACCGGCGAATTTTTATTGCCAAGAGGATAAGTATTTTTGGAACCTCGTGGAGGATTTTTCGAAATAATTACATATCTTCTTCTTCAAACTGGAGGAATTTCGCTATTATATATCCAATGATGTTTGAAAGTATATCGGTTCTAGCGTTACGAATTACGACACAAAGAGGATTCAATTACGGTTGAAAAACGGTCGAGCGCAGAAATATCGAGCGCACACACACATACACATATATATAGATGGT